TGCTGCTTCGATTGCATTCCTTGTGCTGATGGTACCATAGCAAACACCACAGGTATGAACTATATACAGTAGTAAGAGATTATTTCTAAATACAGAGAACATGTTTCACATCCTGCATTTCTTTAATTGTATACCTATGAAACTTGACCAAATTCCTTGCAATACTGCGTGGTGAAAATCTGTCTTAAATCCATCTTCTGTGGTCCATTAAGTAATGAGAATAAAGCTTTAAAAAACCATTAAAAATCACTTATGCAACTTCTACACAATGGCAAAATTGTAAAATTGTATCCAGTTCCTATAGAAAATGTTTTTATATAATTCATTTGCTGGAGCCTTAGATATTCTTCTATACTGTAAGCACTGTCATTTAAAATATTTATTGAAAACGTGAAGTGGAAATACAGCAGGAGGTATTGTGTGTCTTCTTTGCACAACGGTACTGTGGTAATTGAATTCCTTATTTGCAGTTTGCCACCCCATAAAATGTCATTAACATTTTGCAAAACAAGTGAAAATCGTTAAATTGTAGCAAGAATAAATACAATACATTGTCTACAGTATAACAGCGTTTGACTTTTTAATCTTATTATATAATGTCTGGTGGAATATTAACATTCAATTTGATTAACTACCAAACCTCAGTTACTCATACACAATACACAGAATATTTAAAGGCAGTTTGCTGTACGTAAACTAAAACCTAAATCTAAATCTAAAACCTTCTGATTAAAAAGTAATTATTAAAAAATAATCAGCATATCACACAGATTTCTAGTAATTATCTATCGCTTGTCAAAAACTGCTTTGTGCATTACAGAGACAGAGGGAATTTCAGTTTGTACACATTTCATTGATTTCCAGTTTTGAGATTCAAAGTCTGCCAGAACATGGAAGTGCAAACTCAAAGCAAGGATACAACCCTGGAGAGGACACCAGTCCAGCACAAGGCATACACACAAACCAATTTTGAAACACTACTTCAGCTAGACATTATGTGCTGAAACTGTGTGAGGATACTGAAGTACCCAGTGTAAACCCACAGGGAAAACATGTAAACACCAAACAGAGGCCATCCTGTGCCTTAATTATAACCAAGCGCCCAAGAGTTGTGAATCAAAAATATTAAGTGGCATGGAGCTGTTCTTCCTTAATTATAAAGCGGGTCATACCACTAATTTTCATAACTGTTTTCAGGTGCTGCTGAATGCCATCAATGCCCACAAGACTACTGGTCTAACACTAGAAAAGACAGCTGTATCCTCAGAGACATTCAGTTTCTTTCCTACTATGATGCAATGGGAATCACACTCACTACTGTGTCATTGTTTGGACTCTGCTTGACAGTAGCCACTATTTCAGTCTTCTTTTCCTTCAGAAGCACACCCATTGTAAAAGCCAACAACTCTGAGCTCAGCTCTCTCCTGCTGTTCTCTCTGCTGCTGTGTTTTCTCTGCCCTCTTACCTTCATTGGGCAGCCAACAGCCTGGTCCTGTATGTTGCGTCACACAGCCTTTGGAATCACATTTGCACTTTGTATTTCCTGTGTGTTGGGAAAAACAATAGTTGTTGTAACAGCTTTCAGAGCCACTCTTCCCAGCAACAACATGGCAAAAAACTTTGGACCAATTCAGCAGAAGATCATAGTTTGTTCTTGCACAGCTGTGCAGGTTGTAATCTGTGTGCTGTGGCTTAGTTTGAAACCTCCCTTCCCTGACAAAAATTTTAAACTCAGTAATGAAAAGATCATTTTAGAATGTAACACAGGATCAGAAATTGCATTTTATGCAGTACTGGGCTATATAGGCCTGCTTGCAGCTACTTGTTTGGTTCTGGCTTTCTTAGCCAGGAAATTGCCTGATAATTTCAACGAGGCCAAGCTGATTACTTTCAGCATGCTCATCTTCTGTGCAGTTTGGGTCACCTTCATACCTGCGTATGTCAGCTCACCTGGAAAATACACAGTTGCAGTTGAAATATTTGCAATTTTGTCCTCAACGTTTGGTCTCCTTCTTTGCATTTTTGCTCCGAAATGCTACATAATTTTGCTTAAACCTGAGAAAAACACAAGGAAACAAATTATGGGGAAGATACCATCGAAACGATTATGATCTCTTTTTCTTTAAATGTCTTTTGACCTAGTATTTTCTCTTGTTCATCATCTTAGAGTATAAGAAAATGTATATTGGAACAAATTATACAGGCTTAATTCAGGAATATTAGTTCATAAAAATGTATGCCATCATTTAATGTAAAGAAACCTACTGTATATGAGTTAAATTTTACAATTAATTAAATTTTTCATGTTTTTATTTCAATAAGTGGTTCTATCCTGTATTGCAGCAAAAGAGATAGGGAAATAAGAAATCACAAATATGCTAATTAATTCTAATGTCAGTCTATAATACAGCTATTGTTAACCTTAAGATAACCTTAACCAGGTTGGTCCCACAATTTTACACTCACAAAAACTTACTGACTTCAAACTGAACCTAGTGCCAAGCCTATTCAGGGCTCACAAAAAACAGCATGCAAAAAAATTATAACCATCAAGACCTAGGTACTACAGTACCTTTGAATATGAAACAAAGCCTAATTTCACCCATGTGAAAACAGGAAATTTCTAAACTCTTTTTCATTTAACCAATACCTACTTGGTCACCACTGGTGTGGCTATTTACAAGCAATTATAGACCGAAGAGCAGCCTCTAAGAAGAGGCTGTGATTCCAGACTTTCCTAAAGGTAAGCTGCCACAATTTGAGAGAACCATATGTTGATACACAGACAATATGCCTTATACAATTAAGATAAGGTACAGAACTACTGTACCAAATAAACAAAATGGGACCATGTAGCTTCCTAATATATTCAGCCTTCTGTTCTTAAACCGGTCCCTGTGGTGCTCCACTAAATACAATATATTACTCCAGTTTTAGTGTGTACCTCCAAGCAGTAAGCCCCTGTCTATCACTCAAAAATCCAAAACTCTTAAAGAGTATTGTTTTACCATCTGGGCCCTTCTGAGCAATGTCAAATTTATTTGGCCGACTTCCAACTAGGCTGTTTCTGTACACTGGCAATGTCTGGGCAGGTGAGTCATTTTGCTTGTATTGCTTGATTTGCGCCTTTGAAACGGTAGTTTTCCAAATTCAAAAACAAATTCAGTTATGAGGAAATCTTAAAAAATATGTCCCTTTATAATTAATTGTCACTTTAATTTAGAAGCTACAAAACAATTCCTCATAATCACCGTCAATCCACAGCATACTGAATTTCCCATTTTCTGAATACAGTGTGCCAGGAATCCATCTGCGCAACAACCATCCATCCATTTCCAACCACTTCATCCCATTCAGGGTCACCTATCCCAGCAAACAACAGGCACAAGGCAGGGTACAACCTGGACAGGATGCCAGTCCATCACATGGCA